CCTTTGTAACAGTGGCATACCCATTCATACATGTAATCAAAGCAGGACATGGAAACTCACTTTACCTTTATATTATGATCTTCTCTTCTCGTAGAGCCAAGTTTAAAGTGCTTGTTTACATCCTCAGTTATCTTGTCTTATCTTGAATGAGATGATACCTTATATGCAGCAGATATATTATTTCACATTGGTCACTTCCAACTTAGGCCCATGATGCCCAGATAAAAAGTTGCGGAACAGCGTGACAAAACTTGCTTATAAACCATGCATGTATATTAAGAAGTCCCAGATGTCAAAAGTCCAGCTGATAACATAAACTCATATATTCTTTATGCTTTTATGGAGGCTATTTCACTTGTCCAGACAATAGTTTTTCAAAGTAGAGATGATTTTTTAAATATCACAAAACATGTGAAATACATGAAATTTGAAAATATTTGTAAAACGATGAAGTAGCACTAGATGGTGATGTTAAAAATGCTGAATGACATATGTTACCTTGATGATAATGATGATGATGAATTTCCATTAAAGGAGATTATGTTTTCATATAAGCTAATTTGTTCGGTGAATTCTGGAAACAGCATGTAATGCAGACATGACAACACAAACTGCATTGTTGCTTGTTGTCATTGACTGAACCATGGGCCATACTTTGGTCTGGTGATTGTTAAGCACAGTGAGATTGTTATATAGACAGGACTTTTGTATCCTTGAGGCAATCTAGAGTTAAATCTGACACCGTAAAACTATGTCAGATTTTAGTACAGATTCCACTATCATGGTCGTGTTATGAAAATGTCATGTTTAGGCTTCTATTTTATTCCTGTCGTATTTGTAACACTTCAGTGAGTTAACAAATTATTTTATATCTATTTCTAAAGGGACGATGTGTGTCAAATATGCCCTGGCTTATTGTTGATATGTCTTCACACATTAATTCTAAATTTTAAAAAAAATTAAGTGTTTAAATTAAAACGGCAGATTTCATTTTGACAAATGATTTATTTAAGCATATACCTTTTGCAAGAAATTGGATTCCACACATTTTTAAATAACAATAATGATAAAATGAATCATGTTTTATTAAACTGTTTATTTTAAATACATTATATTGCAAAAAAGTTCATATTTCATCCTGTTACTTTTCCATTGCTTTTTTGTATGCAAATGCTAAGTGAGATTTATGGAAACAGTTCAGTACAAGTTAAAAAATATAAGGTACAAGAGCTCAGACTTTGGTGTCCATGGGATTAATTTGCCCTTTTTCCTCATAGGTTAAGGGGGCTTCTACACTGGAAAAGTCAGATGGCAACTCAAAGAAAAGCTCATCATTGAAGCAGTTCTTATCAGATGGAGATGCCAAGGAGGGAAACTTCATGACCAGCCCAGTGAGCAGACCACCAACTGTAGAGGCTCCGATGGTGGTAAAGACAGCCGCAACCTGGTACAGCGCTTGCTCCCGTGCAGTGCGTCCCAAGCCCGGCTTCAGTCCAGGAATCACCTTCTGCAGTTCTAGCAGCTGTGGATCTCCTTCGGGTGGAGCACGGTGGGAAAAGATCTGGTACATGCTGGGCCCGTAGGTTTCCTCAGTGGCGAGAAGGATGGCGCAGATCCCTGCTGTGGCCGATATGATGCCAGTCAGTCCGTGCAGGTTGTGAATACCACACTGGTCTTGGATCCTCATGCGATAAGCCATAAAGGGGGTCAGGTACTTGTAACCAAAGAAACAGGCAGTACAGCCCATGACGCCCAGTGCATATGCAGCTACAGGTGAAATCATCATGTCCACAGAAGCTCCAACTGTCACACCGCCTGCTAGAGTCACATTTTGGATATCAGCCATCGTGAGCTTGCCTCTCTTATTGAATAGTGCAGAGAGTGCAAAGGCAGTGATAGTGGATGAGGAGAGACCTATGAAGGTGTGGAGTATTGCTCTGTGCTGATCATCGCCTTTAAATGTAAGCGCAGAGTTGAATGAAGGCCAGAATACCCAGAGGAACAGGGTTCCCATTACAGACAGGATATCTGAATGATAACTAGTGATCTCTTTAGCATGTCCATCATTCAAACTTGGCCGATAGAGCATAAATGTCACTCCTAGACCAAAATAGCAGGCAAATATGTGGATAAGAATAGTGCCGCCTGCATCATTGATCCTAATGTATTTGAGTACAGCCCACTCTGTCACAGCAAATATAGGAATCTCAAGAGAAGCCATGACCAGTAGCTGAACGGGACTGGTCTTCCCAAGCACAGCCCCGAAGGAGATGAGCACCACAGCACAGGCAAACTCTGCATTCACCAGGTTGATCACCCCCAGGTGAATTTTCCCATCATAGTAAAACTGGAAGAACCCTTGCATCAGGATTGCCCACTGGATTGCAAATGTAGCTGTGAGAAAGTTGAAGACCATCCCGCCAAAGCCGTAGAATCTGAAAAAAGCCAGCAGGCAACCGAAGCCTATGAAGATCATCACTTGCACATCAGCAAAGTAGGGGTAGTCGCGATAGAGGGAGTTCTCCATGGGGCTGGTCTCATTGTTTTGCAGCTTTGCGTTGGTATCGTCATCATAAGTGACAAAGACAGCATAAAGAGCTATGATGATCACCTCAAACACTAACACAAACACTGGCAGGCTCACTTTCAAACTCACTGAGTCCTTCATGTTGATGCTCAGTATCCAGACTGCGACTCCTCTTGCTACAGCAACACCCCTTTTGTACTTTTCTCTTTTTTTTTTAAAGATCAGATAAGAGCAGATAAAGGCATTGGTTAAAGAGAGTGAACACATGCAATGCAGTTATTTAATAGTGGATTGTTATTTAACAACTCGAGAGAACAATGTACTTTAATCCCTCACTGCTCACAACTGAGCTTATCTCTCCCCCTGTGGTTTTCCGTAACAAGTTCTGATTGGTATTAAATGTCTTTATTTTAAACTAATCATGCGGAAAAAAGAAAAAGATAATAAAATCGAGTTAAGTATCACAATTTCATTTTTTTGTTATTAATTCTGATGGCAGGAACTGTGGTTTATAGATTAAAATGACAAATGTACATGACCCGATGGCAAAAGTGATGAATTTAAAGTTTCAGGATATCGAATAGTTAATAATGCAAATAATCTTTACAGGCAATCCAGTGTAGCTAAATGCATAGAAGCCAATGTACAGCTTGTAATGAATTAAGGGCCTGTGCTGTTGATCTATGGTGGAAAAAACATCTTTCTGCTATTGCTGCTATTAATGAATTTTAGATGAGTGTTTTAATTTCAGCAATGGATAATAATGGGCATCATTAATTAGAGTTAGGAGGCACAGTGTGGCTGGCACTTTTTAAATATAGATACAATTCAAATAGTTTTACATGACAGAGTGGGAAGGTATGGTAAGCATGACACAATCATGAACTGTCACACTTTTATCACTTAAATACAGCACAGCCATTTAAAGCAGTCACTGTGGGCATTGTTAACTGTGTAAATCGTTTTTTGGGGGGAAAATTAAGTGCAATAAAAATAAGAATGTAAGAAAAGAAAGTGGTGGTATTTAATATTTAAATATAATATTATATTATATTATAATATTAAATATTATATTATAATAATATTATAATAATCTATATTTAATTTTCTATATGTCATTATGGTTACTATTATTGTATATGTATATGATTTCATCCTTAGTTTAAAAATTCCAGATTTTATTTCAAATATGAAAATTCACAATTTTTCAGTCTTGGGATGTGATACTGCTAAACACCTAATTAACAGCTGGAATAACAGGAATGACAAACTGTTATCACACTGAACCTGTTCAGCATTAGGAATATGTGTTGTGTCTGAAGCAAAAAGAGGAATTCTCTGATCAACATTAGAAAACAATCAGTTAGATCATAGTAAGACAAAGCAGTATTTCTCAATGTAAGCTATTCTGGAGTATGACAGGAGATATATAACATCATAATATCAATTAATTACTCCTGTTTTACATGCAGCTGTTCACTGTAGCAGAAAGTCTGTTTCTGATATTTATTGTGGATTCAGTAGAAAGCAATGAGAAAGAAGCCATTCACATATTTTGTTATTATAAACCCAATTCCATGTGGAGCACAAACTCGCATTTATCACTGAAATTGAAGTTCAGTTAATCAGAAAGACTCACATTGAATTTTGGGATATTATTTCAAGAATTTGGTGTGCAGTTTTTAAGTGTTTTTTTAATATGAGTTTCTAAGTTTGCTGTTTGATAAATCAGACAATGATAGCAGAGTGCTGAAATGTGACCTTATTTATTTATTTATTTACAAACTGTATTGTCGTCGTCGTGGTTGTGGACTGTGACTCAAAAAGAAAAAAAACCCTCAAACCCCCACACACTCCAGTCCAGTAACAAGCAGCAATGAGCAGGTTAAAGTCGCCATTAAAATGCAAAAGAAGAAGAAGAATCACTCCCATAATGCATTGCATTGCCAACGTATGCAAACAGGAACATGGCTACCGGTGTTTAACATCAGCATTCTTGAAAAATTATCTTCTCCCTGACCGACATAGTCTGTGATACACCAGCTTTTGCTGATCCTCCGCGACAGGAGAAAGGTCGGAGTTTATCAGTAGACTTTGGAAACAGCTCCTCGCTTCTTCGTCGGTCACAGACAGGTAACGGGTCAGTTAGCTAGCTCCCGGTGAAGCTAACGCTACCAGTGCTGCTAATCTCGTCAGTTCATTTAAATGTTATCATCGCTGTCATCTCCTTTTGGAGACGGACTGTGAATCATTAGTCAAAGCAAGACGTGGAAAACACACCAGTATACTTTTATACCTGTGCTGTGAAACACACACATTAAGCCCCTGCATGGGGGCGGTAGTTTTTGTGTCTCCCAGAGCTTTGACACGTCTGCACCTCAGCTAAAACTTAATTGTCATGTAACTCGTAATTTGACTGTTAACTAGACTGCTGCTTGCTTTTATGCTTTATATGGAGAGCAATGTAACAGCGTATAATGACGTATGTTTATGGTTTATAATTAAGCAGCTTGTTTGCCAGTTATCGTAGATGTCTGCCTTTTTTTCATTCAGATCGCAGTCGCGTATTGATCAGTTAAACAAGCGTGAGGGGGGATATGTTAATGTCACAGACATAATGCTGACAGAAAGAGACTAATGCTGAAAGAAAAAGAAAGGGCAAAATGTTCTGGAGTGACGGTGGAAGATCGGGTCCTGCTGAAGTAGGAGCACCATTTTCAGTAAGCAAGCACGGTAACAATGTGGCATTTAAGTCACCGAGTGGAACTACACACTCGAGGAACACTACATTTATTTACACCGAGACCACTGCCCCACAATCTGCCCCCAAAGCACAGCTAACCAGGGCTGAAGGCGAGGAAATTAGAATCTAGAGATGTGGCAGAAATCACCACAAGAACCAAACTTCAGACTTGGTAAAGGTCATGGTAAAATAAGTGCATTGGTGGCAAACATGAGGTCCAGGAGGCCAGAAGTGACCCAGCAGACTCCCAATTTGGATCTCTGGACCATCTGAACAAGTAAAGGAGGGCGTAACTCTTGAACCAAGTTTTATAGCTTTTCTTCCTGATAAGGTCCTCCCATATGTTTATTCATTGTGTACCTAAGCTCTTAAGTGACAGAAATGTGCCTGTTTTTTTTTTTTGTTGTTGTTTGTTTGTTTTTTACATTTTATTACTGTCTTCTATAGATGGTTCAGTGTTTTGTTTTGTTTTTCCTTCTTACAATGGGACTACAGTACAAATCAATAACATGTTTTCTATGACTTGATAAAACATCTATAATTGCAGGAGTTACCATTTTTTTCTGTAATTATACAAATGTATTTCTCACAGTTTAAGCCCAAAAAGTCCTGCTGACAGATTTTTCATTTACTATAGCAGCATTTCCTTATCACGCAGAAAGGTTTATGGATGCTGTCGAATTATTAACATATCTCAGAGATTAAAAGTGTAGTTAAACTTCTTTACACTGACAAAAAGAAAAGTTTCACTGATGGAAGTGGGCTGTGTGCAGCCCACGATGTAAAATGAGTTTGACCTTCCTGCACTAAAGTAAGGGGTGAAAGTTAAAGGGGAAAAAATAGTTATAACGAAGGGAAATGTTTAAAAATGAAATGTTACACCTATTTCAGTTTTTAAAAGGATTTAGGATTTTCAGAAGACTTGGGTATAACAGTATTTTGTTATGAGAGAATATAATAATTTTGAGGAGTACTC